CCTTTCCCAGGGGGGCTCTCGGTGACACCCACATCCCATCCTCCCTGTCCCTGCTCAGCCATCAAAGCTTTGCTGCTCCCAGCTCCCCAAAAAGGCTGCTTTGCTGCTGGAGATGGGGGTGCCAGCACCCAAAAAGAGACGGAGGCAGCTTCCCACCACCGGAGTCGAGCATGGCGTGAAGAAGCCACCATGGCTGATGGGGACAGGGCTGGTGGCAGGGTCCCCAGGAGGGACAGGGCCGGCACAGGACACAGATGGGGATACAGAGCCCATGGGGCTCAGTGCACCCCTCTCTCTCGCCCTCTTACCTGGCCTTAGAGATCAGCCGAGCCCCACGGAGAAGCCACCCCACCCCATGTGAACCTTGGGTGCTACAGCAGCCCCAGCCCCATGGTGAACGGGGAGATCTGTGCCCATCCTTGAGCGACCTTGGTCCCCGCTCCCCGTGTCACAGGGCAGCATCTTCTGCCCATCTTCACCCCAAAACCCAGCACTGGTAGCACCCTTCCCTGACTGAGGCCTTAACCCCTGGAGAGCAATTACTTCACCGTGGAGACGGAGACAGCGAGGTTTTGGGGAGTAGCCGGGCTGGACAGACTGGGTCAGATCAGAGCTGGGAAGGGGAAGAGGGAAAGCGGCTCGTCGACGTTTTAATTATTCAACATGGCTTTTCTGTCTGAGCGCTCGTTAACGACCCGATTACCTGCAACACGGGTGGCTGCTCGAGTCCTCGCCGGGCTTGTTCTGCTCCTCAGAGCAATGGGATCAGCGGCTGCAGAAGCGACCGCGTTCGGGGCAGAACCAAGCAGGCTCTGGGGTTTAGCAGCCGAAATGGTAACACAGCACGAGGGCCGGGGGCTGGCCTGAAGTGTGAGTTTTTACCCAATTTTTAAGACTGAAGAATGAAGGGAAAGGCTTCCCAAGCTGAAATTAATACAGAGAACTTCTTCTGACCTGCTTTCCCTGCTGCCCAGGCCGGTGGTTGCTCCTGGGTTCTGGACCCACAGAAATGCCCAGCCTCTCTCAGGCTCAGCGGTCACCGGCAGAAACCAACACATTGGTTCTCCCAAAATGACCAGTTTGAGGGGACAACCTGCCTGGAGCAGCTGAGCAGGTTTGCAAGGCAAAGTCTCCGAGAGACTTTCCAAAACCTAGCCCGAATTTCCTGCGAAGATCCTTTCAAAACCAAGCCCCGATTTCCCTGCCGATAACGTTATCGATCTGCCGGTGGCGGGGCAGGAGGCTCAGCAGCCGGCGCCCGTAACGCCCCAGCCGAGACGGCTTTGAAGATGAAGCCGAGCGGTTGCGTACGTGCACCACACACCCACAGCCCTGCGAGGAGGGGATGACTCCTCTCTGCACCACCCCGGCACAGGCACCATCACTGCAGGTGCTTTGGTACCCCAGGACGTGGGGAAGGGGGGGTTTTTTTTGGGTGACTCCCACAAAAGGTGCGAGTTTCTCAGCTGGGCTTGACGAAAACAAGGTGAAACTCGCTGTCAAATGGAGCTCTGCTGCTGCTGCTTCTGCCCGGCCTCTGATGCATCTCCCCAGATGAAACCGCACGTCAGCGGAGCTGCGAGAAACCCGGGCAGACGCGAGCTGATTGCCATCAGCCGCTGCCAACGCGGCTGCAGCCGACGCAGCTCGGGTGCCCTGGGGACTTGGGCCTTTTTTGCAGCCCGAGAAGCAGAAGTCGATTGATTTTTGTCTTTTTCAACTACGAAAAGCGAAAGCCCCGTCGCCGTTCGTCTTAAAATTCCCTGATTGCACCCCGAGGCCTAGGGCAGACTCGGTGCTGGTGACCGTTTGGAACATGGAGCGGGCACAAGGGTTTTCCCCCACTGCACTCACGTTTCTGCAGCGGGAGGGAGAGGTTTCATGGTCAAACTCCTCTGGATGTGTTTTATTTCCAGAGGAGCGACAATATTCCTAAACGCCAGATCCAAACGGCTCAAAACTCGGGTGCACGCTTCTCATTCCAGTCCTGGTCACTACTTACACGCTAGAAAAACGGGATTGTAAAGCCTCAAGGTAAGCGACGCGCGGGCTCACGCCGCGCAGCGTTGGTCAGGGCTGACATTTCAGTGTTTCTCTTCCTTCCGCGCTTGCTGGAAATGCCCTCGCAGGGGCAGAGAAGTGCATTTCTCAGCAGAAGTCGAGAACCTGCAAGAGTTTTGCTGCGGGGCTGAGCGGCAGCGGGACCCCAGCTCTGGCGAGACCTCGGTGCTGCCGCTGAAGCCAGATCCTTTCAAAGCACAGGATGGGTGTGCTGAGGTGCGTGTTTTCTCAAGAATCCTCTGCCTACCAGCGGTTTTCTTGCCAGAAACTCAGCAGTTTCACCTGATTTCAGGCTCAGAGGGCAGCGTTTCAACGACCGCTCTCTCCAAGCCTCCTCTCCCGCAGCAGCTCCCCACGAGCTGCTCCACACTCGAGCAAAAGCTCTCGTCCCCCTCTCCACACAACAACTGGAAATTTCTCCTCCACATCAATTCCTTCACCACAGTAGTAATCAGTTCCTATCAACCTCTAAACTGAAGCCACAAGACCCCAAGCTCAAGCCCCTTTTAAGCCCAGACGCTCCCGGAGCATTAAATACCACAAAGCTCGCAGCCTTCCTCACACCCAAAAGTTTAACCCAGCCGATGCCTCCCCACTGCATTTCGAGCAGGAATCCTGCCTGTCCAGTCCAGCAACAGCATCTCCAGCAACGCCGCAGTTCCTATATAGATCAGGGGGTTTTAAAGTCTTTTTCAAGCCCTGGTTTGGTTGCAGATCCCCAAGAAAGCCACCACCACCACCACCACTTACTTTGCAGAAACTCAAAAGCCGATGAGCGCAAAGAGCAGGAATCCGATCATGCTCCTTCCCTGCCGGCTCAGCCCGGAGAATTTCCTCTTATCCCGCAGTAATTCCTAATTAAGGGTTCCCAGGTATTTCAAACATCGTGACCTGAGCTCTCCCGCTCCTCCCGAGCTCCCTCCAGAGCAGGCGGCTCCGTGCAGCCACCGTGCAGCGCGCACCGCAGCTCGCTTCCTGGCCTGCAGAGGTGGCTGCTTCACCCAATGGTGGTTGGGTTCCTCCCCGCCTCGCTCAGCCGGGCTCTGCAGCACCCTCCGCCACGCTCCGCTTCCCACCCAGCTGCTTTTAGTGCCAGCTCGCTACCCCGCAGGTAGAATATAAAGAACAGGGCGCCACACGTCATCGTTACCTTGCAAATGAGCAACAACGCCTTACGAGGGCAGAGGGGAAAAAAAAATAAACCCCAATTTTATTCACCAGGGATGTGAACCGACCTGGGCGGGAGGCAGCAGCCATTCAGAGCCTGACAAGTGAGGCTGTGGAAATCCCGAGGAAGGGTCAAGATACGATTTAGTCGAGACACGGAGCTAATACATCACATTTTAAAGATGTTGAATAGCGCCAAGAGTGCAGAACACACCCAAGAAATGTCTCTGCCCAGCCTGGCTTCCCAGTCATGGGCCACCTCAGCAAGCACCCATGCTAAGCTGGCCACATTAATCCTTGTCACCACTCAACGCCCGAGTGTGGGAAACAAACGGCTGCTTGCGAGGGAATCCAGTCTGACCCCTCCAGTCCAGCCCAGCACGTGGAGAACACCAATTCAGATCCATTTAGAAACAGATGGGTGCTGAAAACATCCCACGCCACCCTTCACCATCCACAGGGTGCTCCTCACAGCCCCTTCCCAGGAGGGAGTCGCTCTGACAGCTTTCCTGAGGACCTTCACCCTGTTTATTTGTGCTGTTGCTGTTTTCTGAGGTGTGTCTGCAGCGATGCTAAATCCAGGCTTGAATAATTCTGATGGTATCTCCTTCAGCCTCGGATTTTCTGGTTAGTTTGGCAGCCTGGCCCTGCAAGCAGGCGCAGCCCTGCACAGGCTGACAGCTTCAGAAGTTTCATGGGAACAGATTAAAAAAAGTGGTATTAAAGGAGTGAAACTTTCCATTAAAAAATGACTCACAGAGTAAAAGGAAATAGATTTCTTAAATTACAAAAAAAAATAGAGGTGTCCTTAAGACACTGGCATGAAATTGTGAACAACTGAAGGGTCTGAAGCTGCACACTGCGCACGGACCTCCCCATTTCTGTGCTCATCTGGGGCCCAGTCTGACCCTCACCCGGGTCCTGGGGTTATTCAATAAAAGGAGCTGTGCTCAGTGAGCCACCAGGACACAAAATCTCAAGTAACGATGGGAAAAAAAATCACAAGGTTCCCCGTGGAGTTGTTCCTAGCTGGGAGCTCTGGGAATCTGTTACTCTGCTGTCTTATTCCCCCAGCTTTGGCTCTCTGCTTGGGGAACCACGCAGCTTCCCGTGCCAAGTCCATGAGCTGGGCTACAACACGTCCCAGGGATACGCTTACAGGCAAAGTGATGAAATCTGATGCTCGAGGCCACCAGTACCCACCTCCAAGCTGCCACTTTGCCGTCTATTCATTACACCAGGGCTCCAAGGAACCACTCCCCCTAGAAAAAAACGAGTTCTCAGATAAAACCCATGGCAAAAACCAGAAGGCAGAGAGCAGCTGAAGCAATTTGCCTTTGTTGTTTTCACCCAGCATGAGCCTCCTCTGCTTCCCCAGAGCGCGCTCGGGACCCTGCCTCCACTCGCGTTCGTCGGTTGATGGCAGGATGTGGGGCTTTCAAAGCCCCTCCTTGGCTGGGTCTAACCAGCAACGTTAGCACCCGAGTAGCTACAGACTCTGGATGGAGGTGCTGCTGCAGTGATAACAGAGGAGAGAAGTGTGCAAGAGAGCAGAGAATCAGATTTCTGGTACTTAGGCCTTGCACAAGGGTCAGCCTCACTGAACGCTTTCAGGGCTGGATGGCTGCGCACTCTGGCCCTTCCCAGCAGAGCTCAGAAGTGTCTGGTTTTAGGAACTGCTGCTTTTTGGCCCAGAGGAGCAGGCTCCGAGGCCACAAGCACCGGGGCTGGCTGCAAGGACAATCACTGCAGTCAAACGCCTTCCTCGGAGGCTAGAACTCGGTCATCTTCTTATGCGTGTCTGCTTTCTTCTGCTCCCGCTGCAGGCTGGCTTCCTGGGCCTGCAGCTGCCCCAGCTGCTTGTGGGCGTTCGCCAGCTTCTCCTTCAGCTGAGCCGCAGCAACGCTGTGCCTGAAAGGAGAAAGCATTGCGGCAATGTCATCCTGCACGGTAAGACCAAAGGGTTCTCATCATCCCCTTCCTGCGGGATCAGAGCGAGTGACCTGCGGAAAGCCAGGAAGAACCTGATGCTCGGCACAATCCGGGCTATAAAACATCCTCCTTTGATGCTCAGCAGCAACGCTCAGAGATGGGCACGAGAAGGCAAGGACTTCTCTTCGCCACAGCCCAAAATCCAGCCAAAGGATCCCAGACACATCTGCCAGCATCCACACCGGCCTGCAGCACACGCTAAGGTCGCTCTCCTCCACCTCCCCATCTGGTCCCATCCACCTGTTCCTCCTACCCCTCATTTCAAGCCCAGCCCTCCCCAGAAGCACCGCAGCGTTCTCAGGTCATCCTGCAGCCCCCAAGAGAACGTTTTCCTACCGTCCAATGTTGCGTGCCAGGGCCTGTTGGATTCCTATGATGTCCTTCTGCGTCTGCTCGATCTTCTCCATCGTCTGGAAGAGGCGGACGCTCAGGGCCTTCCTGGTGCTCTTGCTGGCGTGGTAGATCTCCTTGCTGTTCCTCTCCGGCACTGCCGTCCCTCCAGCCTTCTCCCCAGCGCTCTTCCCTTGCAGTTTCTCGTTCAAAAAGTCAAACACATTGCGGGGAGGCTTACGGCCTCCAGAGCCGTTTCCCTTTGCTCGGCATTTCCGCGATTTGCCTGGGTCCAACTTCCCCTGTTTCTTCCTCTGAAGCACCTCAATGCACTGGTCGAGGGATTTCCCTCGAGGAAGCACCACAGCCTGCACCGGCTCCACTCGGCCCTCAGAATTCTTCCCTAGCCCTGAGAGGAGACAAGAAGAGATTACTGCAAGCGAGGACATCCCCTCTCGAGCCACCTCCCGCCACAGACTCACACTGACAAACTCAGAACAAACAAAGGTACAAAAAGCCCTAACAACCACTCAAGTCAAGGGGAGCAGCAAAGGCCACAGCACGGTGGATGTGGATGCTACACCAGGAGCCTTCGACGGAAGATGTGCAATAAAAAGCCTGGGGACATCCAGCAGGCCGGTCTCTGTGAAATGAGGTTCAGCCTCACGCTCTCAGCTTCTCAAACCAGGTCCTTCTTAAAACTGGTTTGGTTCCTCCGGGGGAACCAGAGACAAAGGTGAGCAGCAGACCGGCCTCCTAAAGCCCCCAAGGCTCAATGCAATTTGTGTAGTGAGCAGCGAGCTCAGCAGGCTTTGAAGTCTGCGTCTACAGCCAGGAGATGCCTTAACACAGACATCAGAAGCTTCACAGATCAGTTCCCTTCTACTCAAAGCCTTTGAACATCTCATGCAAGTTCTCACAGCTTTAATCACGAACTTGACCATGGTTCCGAATGCCTCCAATGTTTGCTATTACCACAGAGGGGCTGGTGCACACACATGCCTGTACTTCGATTAAACAGCTATTCCTTCTTACACTTCCACACAGGTGTGGTTCATCCACAGCTCGAGCCTCATCTAACAGGCCCTTCAGCAAAGAAAAGTTGTAGCTTCATCTAAAAAATCTTGTTTCTCTTTAGGGTCCCTCAGGAGACTGAGGGGACGTGGCAGTCAGGCCCTCACAGCACCAGGACCGCCTCCTCCACTTACCTTTTCCAAACTCATATCCCATCCGTACAAGCAGTTTGGAGCCGATACCACGAGTATGGGCTTCCCAGCCACCGAAAGAGGAACTGCACGCAGGAGTCCACTCCCCATTTTCTGGAACTCCCGAATCTATCACTGTGGGATGGAAGAGACCAACCAGTGAAAGACAGAAACAAAGCTGCGACACAAAACCTGCATCTGGGAGGCCCAAACCTTCATCATCTGGGAGGCCCAAACCTTCATCATCTGGGACGCCCAAACCTTCATCATCTGGGACGCCCAAACCTTCATCATCTGGGACGCCCAAACCTTCATCATCTGGGACGCCCAAACCTTCATCTGGGACGCCCACACAGCATGAAGCCCCTCACAAGGCAGTAAAATGTACTTCCCTCATGCTTATCCCTTATTCCCCTTTATGCTTCCCTTCCTTCCTTCTAGGATAGTCATGCAGACTGACACACGCCATCAGAGTAAAATTTGGCGCTGTGGCATGCAGTATTTATTCTGTGCCTCCAGCTAATGTCTCTGGTATGAGGCTCCTCTAGGCCACTACACTCATTTTGTGCTATTAGGATCCAATAATCTCCATTAGGCTAAATTATAGAGCTCCAGGACACAAATTTGTCCCTGTGATGTCGCTGCGGAGCCAGCACAGGGACAGTGCTGTCTGTGTAATGTCAGAGAAGCGTTTGGGCTCCCTCTGTGGCAGCTTTCAACAGTCAAACAGGGCAAGGCTGTTCCTGCAACCTCATCCAGGCACTGGAAGGACCAAACGCCTGCAGTCACTGGGGTCATGAAGCCCCACGGAGCTCCCAGAGATGAGGAAGTCACTGACGAGCTCAACTCAGCCAGACACACAAGAAACAGACTCAGAGCTGGAAGCTGGCTCTCAAATATCACACCCTCCCGTGTCGAGAGTTCCCATGGAAACCTCCAACCCTCATTAGCCCAGTGATCAGCATGAAACAAAGACTTTAATTGGCATAATAGCTAATTACCATTCTCTGTCTTTCAGGAACATATGAAGAGATGAGCTACTCTTTCACCAGAGGTGAGACACTTACAATGAAAGCTGTGGAGAGCGGATCCCAGAGCAAGGCAGCCCTGGGTCCCATCGCTTCTGCTTACACTGCCCTTGCTCCCTCACCTTTAGCATAACCAGAATCATCCACGCTGTCCTCATCAGACTCTGCAGATTCAGCAGCATCTTCACTTCGCAGCGGGGGAATGACGCTGTCTCCTTCCACAACAGCTTCCTTGAGCAGCAGGGAGTCAAACTTCACAGTGTAGTAACCACTGTCGATGTCTACAGAGGGAAAAGCAAAGAGAAGAGTTCTGGTAAGTCTGCAATACCCAACTGGCAGAGGGCTTTTGAGTGAGCTCCAGGGGAACAACACAGGAGAGGGGGAAGGCCTTTTTTAAAATAAAAAATCCTGGTTTTTCTTTTCTTTCTGATTTCTGTATGGGAGGGAGAAGCAGCCACTGCAAGGAAAAGCTATTTCCACAATGCCTGTTTACTTACAGAAATACTTACATAGACTTAAAGGTTTCTTTCTAAAAATTAATCAAATGGAATCAAAGAGAAGTCAGACTCCCTTCCCTCTGATGCAATAATAGTCAAAGAAAGATGGAAAGAGAGACTAAACCCTCACCGCCCCCAGGCCTCGGGGAAGCCTGTACCAGCACCTGCTGGGCAGGGCCAGCTCCTCCGGCTTTTGCTTAAACAAGAGCAGGTTATTGCAATTCTAACCTAGTATGTATGCAAACTCCTGCAACACCTGCCTCTTCCCCTTCAGAGCAGTGAATGGAGTCACTTCCTTTAAAATCCTGCTCTTACGTCTCCTCCTTGTCTAACGCTCTCCTGTTTCCTAGGCTATTCCCTTCCCAGGCCTGGCAACATTCAGCACACTTTCTCAGCTACAGGAAGATTCTCAGTTTAGGGACGCAGCTACATAGTTAATATTTTTCTATAATTAACCAAAATAGTCATGTTTTCCATCCACTGAAGCATCAGCCTTCATCTCCCAGAAGGAATCCTGGAGCAGGACACGCTCACGCACGACTCACCGGTTATTTTTGCCGTGTACCAGATTCCATCGCTGTGCTTGGCCAGGCAGGCTGAGCCCACCTCCAGCGTGCTCAGGTTGGGCTCCTGAAACGGCTGAAGCTCCTCCACAGAGACCACCTGGCCATGGGAAAACCTGCCAGGGAAGGCAGAAGAGGAATTATCTCTCCCTCATCTGAGCAGGCTTTAAATGAAAACTCATTCCCTCCTTAAAGGAAAACTCATTCCCTCCTTAAAGGAAAACTCATTCCCTCCTTAAAGGAAAACTCATTCCCTCCTTAAAGGAAATGCAAACGAGTTGTCAGCGGTGACGAATCCTCAGCAGTAACTACAGAAGGTTTATTGTGCGTTATTTCAATTACACAAGGTATTAATTTTTCCACCTTACACATATTATTTAGGCCATGCAACGAAGAATGCGTCCCACCCCAGAGAATTAAGCTCTCTTTGACAGGAGTGCGTGTAGGTCCTTTGAGATGAGGAGGGTCACAGACACGCAGCTCTCCAGTCCAACCTCCTGCTCAAGCCACAGCTTCAAAGGCTGAGTGAACGCTCAAGGCCTTCCCTATTTAAGTGCTGAAGATCTCCAACGACAGACACTCCACAACCTCTCTGGGAAACTGGAAGGCAAACACAATCCATGAACAGCTTTGGTGTTTCATTCTAAACGCACAGCTTCAAAGGCTGAGTGAACACTCAAGGCCTTCCCTACTTAAGTGCTGAAGATCTCCAACGACAGAGACTCCACCACCTCTCTGGGAAACTGGAAGGCAAACACAGTCCATGAACAGCTTTGGTGTTTCATTCTAAACTCATTAATGGGTTATTAATGTGGCCGCTCGACCAGTTATATAAAATCTCTGCAACCTCCCCATGGGATTTTCCATTTCCTTTCTGCACCAGCTAAAGGAAACGGCCAAACTGATGCCACTGCTTACCCACGGCAATAACATAAAGACAATGCTTCATTGTGTCAAAAAGCCAAACGTGGTACTCTCAGAGGTTTATCCCCTTGAACGCCAAAGGCTATAAGCCCCCTCCCATCCCCTTTTTCTTTTCTTTACCGGCAGTTTTCTTTAAATCTGCATTTGTCATCCAAGAAGAACGGGCACGGCTTGAGCGACTTGTGCGTCGGGTAGAGATAGAGCACTCTGACTCCTGCAGTGCCATCCTCTAAGTCCTCTGTCCCCACAATCATGGCATTATGGTACTCCAAGGTCCCCCAGGAACTGTAGTAGGGGGCCTTGACCTTCATCCCACTCAATTCCTCCTCTTCCTCTTCCCTGTCAGATTCCTCCTCCACTTCACTGCAGTTTGATTCATTTTTATCATCAGTTTCTCCCTCTCTCTTCGATGAGATCTCATCGTTTTTAGCTGAAGGCTTCTCGTCACTTCCAAGCTCAGCAATGGCCTCCTTGAAAGCAGCGTACTCCTCATCTTGGGCAGAACTGTCTGGGTTGGTGTCCTGCTCCGGGAGACCTGCTGGGGAGGAGGAGGAGGAGGAGGAGGAGGGATTTGTATCTAAAGTAGCCAGAAGTTTGCTCTTTTTAACAGACACCAGGCTGGCTTCAGTCAGTTCTATCAGCTGCTTTAAATCTTCCTGCAACTGGATCAAGTCTGACTGCTGTGATGGGTCCAGGCCTGCCCCTAAAGCCAGCTCCACTTGGTGCAGCTGGGCATTGTAAGTCTGAATGGCTGCTTCCAGGCTCTCTTCATCCATTCTCAGCCAAATCAAGATGTGTTTAACTGCGGCCTTCCCAGGAACTCAGAACATACTTGAAGAGTTTACTGATGATGAGCAACTTTTTAGATGGCAAGCTCCTGTCCGCAGGATCTACCATCTACCCCACCGTCCCGCTTCTTCCCTGGGAATAACCAGGCGACGCTCCTGCAGCGAACAGGCAGCCAAAGGCGACGAGAGGCCGAGGAGAAGCCGGGCCCTGCCTTCCCTCGCCACGGCGCCCACTCGAGCCC